TTAAGAACAAAATCTCCTTTGGAAATTGTCCAGCACCCAGCGGTTGTGCTTTGTGTCGCCAATTAAGACTTCGATTGGGGGCTTGATTTGGAATCCTTGGGAAAAGCTTTGTTTCCATTAGTCAAAGGAAAAAAGACAGAAAATCGGGGGAAGACATTCTAGGTCATACCTAGCTCAGCGGGGATGCTAACGCAGACAATAAAGTAACATTTCCACTGGCTCAGAACAGAGACAATCACTCATTCTTTCTGCTCCTAAGTAGAGTTTTACAATAGCGGAGCTGTGAGAAGAGAGATCAAAAGAACAAAACTGGTACAAAACAGAGCATTACTTTAAAAACACGCTGTTCCAAGTGTAAAATAAGGGGATAAGCATCTATTGCTTCCAAATAAACAGCTGACAGTGCTTTGGAAAAATGGTTACACCTGTTAGAAAGACCCATTTGTAAATGCTGGACACGCACGCAATCTCAAAAAGTAGGAAAGGAAATCTGATTTTCCGGGGGGAGTTTTAATTATTATTATTACTTCTGATATATTTCCTTATCCGTCAGATCCATTAAAACGTAGATGTTAAACTCACATTTTGATTCTGTTTCTGTAGCAAAATAGAGATAGAGTCATTCTTCCATCAAACAGAGGAAGATGACTTGGCTCCTGTCCCTTGATCAGAAGTGACACAGTCACCCCCTGGGTTTAGGGATCTGGGTTCACATGGTAGAACAGAAATTTCTGAAGACCCGTCAGATTCTCCAAGACCACTAGCCTTCTTAGGACATGACGAAGAGAGGGAGATAAGAGCATTTTGTAATTACTGAAATGAGTGATCTCCTGCAAGAATTGGAACTTGCTGGGGTGCCTGGGTGGCTCGGTCGGTTAAGTGTCTTCCTTCAGCTCAAGTCATGATCTCAGGGTCCTGGGATCAATGCCCCACGTCAAGCCCCACATCAGCCCTTCCTCCTCAGTGGGGGTCTATTTCTTCCCCTCACTCTCCCTCTGTGATCTCCCTCTTTCTCCCCCTACCCCAAAATATAATCTTAAAAAAAAAAAAAAAAGGAATTGTAACTTGCAGCACAAATTCCAGATTGGTCCTTGTCCCATGGTGACTCACCAGTGCTCAGCCCAGCACCCCACATAGGGTCAATGCCTCAGAAATATCTGTTGAGGGGTGCCTGGGTGGCCTGGGTGGCTCAGTGGGTTAAAGCCTCTGCCTTCGGCTCAGGTCATAGTCCCAGGGTCCTGGGATCGAGCCCCGAGTCGGGCTCTCTGCTCAGTGGGGAGCCTGCTTCCTCCTCTCTCTCTGCCTACTTGTGATCTCTGTCAAATAAATAAATAAAATCTTAAAAAAAAAAAGAAATATCTGTTGAATGGATAATTGTTTATAATTAGAACAATTATAATCAAGGATCATCACCCCAGTGGGTGATGACAGACGACATCATCAGAAGACCTCTGGTGGTATGCAAGCACTACCTGTCTGTTTTCTGTTTTTTCAGTTGTAAACATTTGGGATCTTCTCACACAATTCTGGAAAGCCAATCCTTGATTCCAGATCACATAATGAGAGACACATAATTGTAGCTTGTTGCTCAGAGTTATGGTCTAACCATAGGAAAAAAAGCTTGCCACCAGTCACCCTTGCAGAAACTTTCATTAAGTCTACAATTCAGTTTAAATTGGCAAAAACCTTCAAATGGGTACGGAATGAAATATAAAGAACCATTTTATTTTCAGAACTTAGAAGGTTTTTGGTTTGGCAGTGGGGGTAGAGACCAGGAGCAAAAGGCAGAAAGGATGGGATCCATGCATTTTTATACCAAAAATATTTTACTTGCTTTAAGCGCTAAAAAATGTATTCCATTATGGTACAGTCTCTCATAAGCCAGACCTTCTACCACTTTCACAATGAAGAGAAATATTTTATCTTGCTGTCCAGAAGGAACGTAACTTCTTTGATTTTTCGCTGCTGGTTATCAAAGGAGGCTTCTCGCAGTGAGTGTGCGGCGTTACTCCTTCTGGCTGCCCTCGATCCTGTGAATGTCTCGTCTTCCAGCTTTATCTTCTGTCCTTCACTTGGAGTCCTGGTAAATCCTCTTTAATTCAGAAGAGCTCTTGGCTCTCAAAAGGAAATATCTTGTTTTTCCTCTGTATCCAACAATAGTATATATTTTTTTAAGTTTCACATTTTAATGCAAATATACAGATGACTAATATCTGGGAAGAGCCGTGATGAATTACATCCCAGTCTGTACAGGCAGACGGAAATGTTCTCATTTTGGTATGTGCTGTGTGTTCTGTTATTTATTGAAGCTTCGCAAAATACTTTTCCACGCTTTCGTCATCGCTCTCGGTGTCTTCCACTTTGTCCCTGTGGCTCTCGCGTGTAGATGAACAGGTCTGTGGGTCTCCTGAACGTGTGAAGACAGAGTAGAAGGACTCGAAAGTGAGGGGCCCTTCGATTGATTGCACAGCGCGGGCGCGGGAGGTCCCGTTACCACCGCAGCACAGCGGTCTTCAGGGTCTCCTGTTGGTCTAGCCTCAGATCCTGTAACCGTGTTAATGGTTGACGTTCGTTGGCTTTTCAGATGTTCCGCAGGTCCTCAGCCCCGTGTGCACGTATCTCCTGAACCGTGCGCAGTCCTGAGTAGGAAGCCCCCCCAGAGAGAACGAGGAGTGAACAATCCCACTCGAGCTCCTGTGTCCCTCTGTGTCCTCATCTGTAGAAGGGGATCATGCGACCTTTGCGGGAGACTCGATTAAGTCACATATGCCAGCTGCGAAGATCTTAGTTTACATGGCCCGTCCCTGCCACCTGCTAGTTCCTCGTTCCCATCCCTGGTGTCCCCTGGTAGATCTGGCCGCTAAGCTCAGCATTATTAGAAAATCGGTTAATGTTTGCTGTAACTGATGAACACTCGTGGTTCTACCAGCTCTGGAAGCGTCTTCTCTACTAGTCTTTAAGTTGCCATGAACTTGCCGTGAACTCCCCTAAGGACACCACGCGGGTGACGCTCAGGCTGCTGCTGCTGCTCCCCCGGGGAACCCGTTGGGGACCAGGCAGCGTGCCTCCAAGCCCCGTGCTAGACGCTTGGCAGAGAAAGATCCCGCAAAGTTAAATCAGCTTGCTGTGTCTTGTCTCTGGAAGAAATTAAACTTTAAACACAAAGGTTTCTAGAATTTTTAAACCTCAGTCCCAGATTTCAGAAATGCAGCGCTCTCCTGAGATCTGTAATTTCCTTGTCCCCAAATTGAGCGTTCTAAAAATGCACAATTTTAACCTTAAGGCATCCCTGTTCAGATCGCAGTTGTAAGATTCTGCTGCTCCAGATCCAAAGCTTCCTTAGTTCCCGGAAAGTCTGTGAGGAAAGCACACTGATGTCATCACGATGACGGTCACGTGGTTTGTTTTTGCTCACCCAGAGGGTGCGATGCTTTTTCAAAAGCTGATACACCACGCAGGTTTTAAAAACATGCAAAGAGATCCTTCTCTGAGTGCTGAGGAATTCCAAAGGGAAAGGGACTGAAGCTGGCCTGAAGGAAGGGGGCGAGGACAGGCGAGTCAGAGTCGGTGGGGGTGGCTACTGAGAAACCCAGTGCGTGGCTGTGCTGTGTCATTAGGAGAAAGGGGGGCTCATACCCTCCCCCCAGGAGTGTAGCCTTGGTCATAAGTCCCTTGATTCCCATGTTCCCCGGTTGAAATGTGGTCTGATCTGCCACCCTCCCTGGGTCCGTCCTGTCAGCAGCCACCTGGCACTAATGTCTCATCCCATCTCCACTGGCAGCCCCGGCTCCGTCTGCACCCTGCTTCCTCCTGCCTTCGGGCCTTCTCTCCTGGCTTCCTCCTACCGCCTCTCCAGCCTTCTCCACCAGCCGGCTCACATGCCCACCGGCCAGCCCTCTCCTCTCTTGCCGAGAGCAGGTGTTAGAGCACCTCGTGACGGGCTCTCTGTGATGTGCCCATTTATTGATTCACTTATTTCGGTCTTTTTCACTGAATGAACATCAAACATCTGTACCAGGCTCTCAAAGTATATAAGAAGGACCCATGAGCTAGGTCCCGAGGAACGCGTGGCCTGGTGGTGAGGACCCGGATGTCACAGGGATGCCCGTAATTCACGTCTGTGCTCCAGGCGCTGCCTGTCCCACCTGCAGCCCGGGTCCTGGCTGATGTACCTTCGTGCCGCATGGTCTGCCCTTCTCCTAGCACATCTCTCCCCGACTGTGTGATGACGGCCCATTCACGCCATTCATTTCATTTCTCCCAGAAAGTCACTGTCTCCAGGAAGTCTTCCCAGACACCGCCCCCAGACCCCCACCCATCCAGCTCCCCCTGGCTACACTGCAGGGGCGCTACCTCCAAACTGGGGCATCACACACGGGGTGGACCGTGTTTGTCATTACCGGGGGTGTCCTATTTCCATTTGTCCCACATGTGCCCTTAGACCAGAGCTCCTCCGTACCGGCACTGTGGACTTTAGGGGGCTGGGTGGCTCTTGTCTCAAGGTTGTCTGGGGAGTTGTGCGACCTTTGGCAGCATCCCTGGCCTGTCCGCCTACTAGATGCCAGTAGAGCCCTCTCCCCCCAGCTGGGACCATTAAAGATGTCTCCAGACATTGCCAAATGCCCTCTGGGGGTGTCACCCCTGCCTTAGACTGAACCCTGCTCCGGGGCAGGCTCCTTCTTGCAAAACTGCTGGAGTGCTCTCACTCGGGGCTATGGGGGATTCCCCTCGCGGTTTCTGCTGTGACATTGAACTGGGTACCAGTTGCCACTGTCCCAAAGGCAGCGAACGGAGGCATTGATTCCAAGTGATGTTCTGCAATTAGGAATATGGACAGACAGACACACACACGTAGAGACAGACATTCTATAGTTAGGATCAGAGCCGAGCTCTTAAATAGCCACGTGAAAGTACAATGTTCTGTGTAATATATTTTTATGCTTGGCAATAAAATAAAAGCACCCATTAAGAATCTCATTGTCCTTTACCTCTTGCTGTAGCACCATCAAGAGGACCAGCTCCTCTGAGAGAGTATCTCCTGGCGGCCGGAAGGAAAGCCATGGGGATTCCAAAGGAAACCGAAACCGCACAGGATCCACGAGCAGCTCTTCCAGCGGCAAGAAGAACAGTGAGAGGTAAGGGGCTTCCTCTCTGGGCTCCTGCTGTTGGGATGTTCTGTTACTTCTTTTCCCAGAGATGAATCAGAAGATCCCCTAAAATGCACGTGAGCTTCGAGCTCTCCGTGGAGGGCAGGCCTTCTGAGAGTGCTGCGGGCACTCAGCCACTGGCCTGTGGAGGCAGACCCTCATCCTAGCTCCCACCATCACTGTCCAGGTAGAGGGCAAGATCTTGAAATCCCACCACCCTGATGCTGACAGAAAGAATTCCCGAGAATTTGCTCAGTACCAAATCCACGGACTGGGGGAAGCCATTCTGAATTTCCTTATGGGGCACCCTATACTTCTAGTACATTCTGCTGCCATTTTGAAATTAGTTTCACTGGGTTGTTTAACTTTGTCAACCGTATTTCCCAAGGCAGACTGGATCAAAAGTTGAAGTTTTATCATTTGTCAGAAACCATTTTTAATACGGAGCTGACACCAGGTATAGGACTGTTTCTTTCCGGTCTCACGAAACACGCTTACTTCTAATTCTGAATTTTCCCTTTGAGGTTAGTTTATCATGCATTATGATAAACACCTACACAACTACTAGTAGCCTTTTATTAGTGAAAGGGAATTGTTGCCGTTTTAATGGCCCGTGTCAGGTGTACAAACATATGGGGCCCAGGAGACCGGTGTCTCTGGGCACATACCTGACGCTGTACTTTATGCTGTTTTTAAACATCGTGCCGTAGTTCTACTCTCTCTCTGTTGAGCAAGGCTGAGGAAGGGATTTCAGCTTCACAGGCTAAACATGGCTTTTTTCCCCCCCAAATGTTTATGTAAGAAGAAGGCTTAGTCATAAAGTGATCGACTCCAACCCTCAGGCTGTAAAAATTCCAAGTTTGTAAATCCATTCTGATTCAGTCCTGCAAAGAACCTTAAATTCTTTTTGAGTTTTATCCCTAAAAGGTACCTTTTGTGGAAAAGATGCAGGCATCTTCCCCAACTGTAGCAGGTTAGGGCCCCCCACCGTCGAATAACAGCCTCAGAGACTGACATTGGCTTCTGTCTTCTAATTTAGACTGTTAGTACTTCTTATCAGAAGATTATGTTAATAGGACCATAATATCTTAGAAATAAGGCCACGTGGCTATGTTGGCAATAGAGCGTAAATGGGCCTTGCCGCAGGCTTCTCTGAGTTTAGGGTAAGCTTGGAAGTTGGCCTGAAATGTCTAGATCTTGGCAGTTCTTAAAAACTTGGCTCCTTCTGTGCACATCTGATTTTTATTAAGAATTTCCAAAGAGAATCTGCCTTGTGCAAACTCCAGATCTGTTTTATCTTTCAAATCCTATGGCATTGATAAATGCACTGGGTAAATATTTCCATAAAAGATATTTGCAAAAGGTTTTGTTTGGTTTTGTTTTGTTTTTGCTGCCACGGTAGGAAATTTTGATTTGGAAATGAGGGATGGGAAAATCTTCTCATTTTCTAAAAATAACTCAAGCAACTAAACATGTCCATTTAAAAATAAATCCTTTGTTTCGTTCGGACCCAGGAAAAGTTGAGGCCTCTGTGCCACTGAACAGGTTGAGTTACACACACTTGAGAAGGAAAGTTCTTGCCTTCTCGTAGGTGATTGCTGGTGTGGCAGATACCTTCAGGGGCCCGAGGGAATAATAGCCCAGTAACTGAGACAGGAAGAAGCAGCACGGAGAAGGTCAAGTTGGTGATTCAGTCTCTGCCTGACTCCTTACTTCCTTCCTCCTCTCCCTTCCCCTGTGAGCAGCCCCCGTCCTGGGCTCTATTGGTCTGGCCCCAAACCAGAGCTGGAGTCTCCCGGATCAATACCCCGTGGCGGGGACTTAAAGTGTTCAGAGAAAGCTGTAGGGACATGGCCTGACATAACCCTCTTTAAACCACCATGGTCTTCAGTGCTCTAAGCCGGTGTGTTCGTCTCCTGATGGCTCCAGTTTCTGTCTGTCCATGGTTCCAGGAGGCCGTCATCCATTTTCAGAGCTGGTCTTATGCGGTTCCTGCGGACAGCAAGACAAAATGGAAAGGGCACAAACTCTAGAGTAAAAGAAAGGTCTGGGTTTGTAAACCAGGAACTTCTCCAAGCCTTAGCTTTCGCCCGGGTGCCTGAGGGATCGCATACCCAATCGCCTCGAATCTTGTCAAACTGACTGGGAGGAGAACCCGCAGCCCAAGGCTTGGCACCTGGTCGTGGGCATCATGGTAGTGGTGGCTCTTAGAGCACGAGGCCCAAGCAGAGCGCAGGAGGACCCTTGACGAGGTTTCCGGAACCGGGAACTTTCTTTTCCCTCACTCGTGAGATAAGGGGGTTACGTGGGGGTGGAAGCAATTAGTCTTGTTTCTGGTCCAACACACATTCACTGAGGTTCGTGTGCGTGATGCAGTCCCAGGAACACAACCTGAGTTCGGACAAGATCTAGAAGGGCTCAGGGGGGCGGGGGTGGGGAGTCAGGAGGTGGTCAGAAAGTGTGACACGTCTGCACGGTTGTCCCCGTCGTGCCAGAGTGAGCAGGGCTGCAGGCGAGCTGGCCGGGATGCAGGGAGGGCGAGTGGGCCCAGGGGTGACCCTGGACGGGCCCGGCTTTGTGCAGCAAGCGCACCGCACACCCACGCCGGGGCCGCATCTTGGAAGAAGCAGACTCTTGGCTCCCGAGTGCACGTTGCCGCACACCATACGCAGAGCTGTCTTCCGCGCGTGTGGCCCTTGTACGAAAATTGGAAAAAGCCTCCTCTCGCTCCAAGAAGACAATCCCACGTCAGCACGTATAGTTTTTTGATGAGAATTCCAGCAAATATGAACGACTCCATAGACCTCGTCCAAATCCTCATGTCAAACATAAAATCGTGTTTTTGAGGTCCTCAATGTTCACAGTTTCCGAGATAGACTAATTTACTTGAAAATAATGGCGTGTTTTACTTCCACAGAAACCATGTTCTTTTATGAATTTCAGTGTTCCTGTGTCTCATTTCCTTTGGAAGTGGTCACTGGATTTGACGGTCGTTCTTGTGACCTTGTACGCTTGTCTTCGAGTGTCTAACACCTTAAAATACTCTGCTTATAACAACAGCACGTAGTCTTCGCACCAACAAGACTTACATAAAAACAAAAGCAATGTATGGCAAGGTTAATGTTTACTCTATGGATTACTGATGATAAATATTAACGGTTACATAGTGATTTGTGTTGTAATGAAGTACGTATTAAATTTAAATAGGAAATCAACAGTAACATTCTGATGAACGACCTGTGCTATCTAACATAACCTCTGTAGTAACCCAATAGGGATTTTTTTTTTATTTAAAAAAAAAGTGTTATTATGAGACAGAAGAACAACTATTACTTAGAATGCAGTTTTATGTAAAATGTTGCTTGACTGCTTGAGTGTTTCAGTTAGAAAACTGGTCTGTCCCCCCCCTTTGTAATTCTGATGGAGTGACATATATCAGCTTTGTAAACTAGATACTTTGTTTCCATCAAAAAGTTGTTGTAATGGGCTCATTTTGTTAGAACAAGAAATGTCTCAGCTGGAAACCTTTTTAGAACACACATTTTTTAGTAAAACACACACACACACACACACACACACACACACACACACTTAAACTCCCCATCTTAAGAGTCAGCAAAAGTGGAAAGAAAAGAAAAAAAAAAAAATAACACTTCAAAATAGCAAGGAAGTGAAAATGCCCCCTTAGAGGCTGTTTTGTACTGAGCTACCTGAACGCCTGTACCAGCTGTTTTATCCAGACTGTAGGGTCCAGAACCCTGAGCTGGGGACTCTGAGCTCCATCCTTCCTCCAGCTCTAGTGTTCCATGAAATAGTCTTTTCAGTGACACCTCGAGGTCCTCAGGGCTAAAATTTGTTCTTTTACTTGAACATCACTGAGATTGTAATGTGAATCTTCACCGTCAGTCTGGCAGCAAGGGCCCTTGTCTGCTGGCGCCCCTTCTTCTCTTGGGCCCCGATATTCATGCGTCTCTAACACCAGCTCTCACTTGTCCCCAGCAAGAATTTTTTCTCTGAGATAATTGATGTATTACACAAATAACATGTGCTCCCCCATGATCAAACCCAGTCTGAATTAAAGAAATGCAAATCTAAGTAAGAAGATAGTGTATTTAGAAAAACCTTTCTTGTGTAGGGGCACCTGGGTGGTCAGTCAGTAAAGCATCTGACTCTTGATCTCAGCTCAGGTCATGATCTCAGGGTTGTGAGATCCAGCCCTGGGTCAGGCTCTGCACTCCACGCAGAGTCTGCTTGTCCCTGTCCCTCTCCCTCTGGACCTCCCCCAACTCTCTCTCTCTCTCTCTCTTACATAAATAAACAAACAAATAAATAAAATCTTTATTTTTTAAATAAAATCTTTTAAAAAAGAAAAATCCTTATTGTATTATAAAACACAGATTTTTTTTTTTTAAAGCTAAAACCCCCACACAAAGAAATATATAGCTTAATGAATGACACCTTCTAGCACTTAGTGAGTGGAGGGTTTTCCCCTTCTAACTGCATGACGTGTGTGTGTCTGGAGATTTGCGGGGTCGATGGTTGGGCACATTGGAGGACCTCCAGCTCATCCTTCAAGACCCAGCGCAGGATGCCCCTTTCTCTGGGAAGCCTGCCCTGGCTCTTTGGTCTGAGTCAGTCGCCTTTCTGATTGCTTAGTGCCTGCTCATTCGCTTTATCTGGAACTTCCTCCCCGTTCACCCCATCCCCACGCACGCCCCTTGCCCTTCCTGGAGCTTTGGGAAGGCAGAAGTTGCCCCTTATTATTCTTTGTATCACTAGCACCTCTCACAGGGCCTGGCAGCCAGTTACTGCTCAATAAATATTTCTGGCACGAATGAAAGAATATATATTTAATTTTTAAAAAAACAGACCAAAAAAAAAAAAAAGTCATTTAAGAAAATGTGTGAACAGCACCACCTACTGGTAGACAGGTTTGACACGGCCCTTCAGATTCCAAACTGTTTTGCACTGGAAATGAGGTGACTTGA